GTTAAATTGTATAGTTATATATCATGTTACATGCTGTCAGTCAGCAGCAGTCGACGCGGCCTAAACGGAAAGTCTAGTGTCAGCCACAGATGGCTGACGCTGCCTAAACGGAAAGTCTAGAGTCAGCCACAGATGACTGACACTGCCTAAACGGAAAGTTTAGTGTCAGCCACAGATGGCTCATGCGGTCTAAACGGAAAGTCTAGCGTCAGCCACTAATGGCTACGCGGCCTAAACGGAAAGTCTAGTGTCAGCCACAGATGGCTGACATGGCACTCAACGTGTTAAGAGTTAAATTTTGAGTTGAACGACTTTCCTGTCAAATTCTTAACTTCACTTACTACTTCTGGCCAGAACGTAAATTTAGAATCACATCTGAATACATAATGAGAAGGAGCAGTATTTAAAAGCGAAGTTCTTTGGTCTTAGCGAGAAAGTTAGCAGGTATTCTGTCTGCACGTGCCCGCCTTTTCAGGCTACTCTCTCGTAAGCTATTATTACGCTCAGCTCTATTTAGGCCCTTGATAGCTTCGCTGTCAATTAGCATTAAGGGACCATCTCGGTTAGAATCTTGATAGCTTTGGCTATATCTCTTTAGTTTAGTTCTTAGCCTCTTCAGTTCAAGCCCAAGTGTCGGCTTTTACTGTACACTCCAAGACGGAGTTCTGTTAAATCTTATCTGAATAAAGGATTATTTACCCTTCCATCTTCTTGTTTCTTGTCACACAAAAACTCAAGCAATTATTCGCTTATCAGTTCTTTCTACAGTAACTTAGAATTACACTAAGTAATTGAAGAATCTCACATCCTCTTTAAACAGTTGCATTTTCTAAGTCCTTGTCCCCCAACTAAAGAAAGTCTTTTTAATACTTCATGTACACTTATTTCTTCTGTACCAACTTAAAAAATTTTCTTTGCAAAAGATAAACTGGTTTCTTATGTAACTTATGTAGAGCAATTTTAATTTACCAAAATTAGTACCAAGAACATAAAACTCATGATCTTTAATATCTGTAATAACGGCTATTACTGATTTTGAATCCATTTTCGATCTATCAATATCAGGTACTTTTATTTTAACATTTTGTCTGAGAGTAGGTTTCGGAAAGTTTTTAGTAGACACAGTCTTCATCTTTTTTGCCGGCTTCTCAAGTTTTTTCTTAGCCATCTCTCAAAACACTTTCATGTTTTGAACTTTGTTTAAATTTGATAGACAGCTCTTTAAGGATACTTTTTTTACATAATCTATACATTCTACACAAATACATCTTTCAAAATACATTAAAACTCTTTAATATATTAAAATTTCCAGGATTCCTAATGATTTCTGCAGTCTCAGCATCAATAAATATTGAACTCATCCATCAGTCTGTGCAGATTACTTGCTCGTACCATGACAGAGTATGTATGATTTTGAACATGATACATGACTTATATGCAGTTTCTGAAATCTAAAATTTCTGGATTGAAAAGTAAAAAATCTGGAATTCCAGGTATATCTGGACCCACATTCCCCTGATTACTTTAGAATAAAAACAAAATGAAATAATTAACTTGCATTTCATGTATGGGTATGGTATGAAAAACAAGAGGTACTGTACAGATTTAAAAATTTAAGACTAGTATGTTAATTTGAATATTAAAATAAAACAGTATTCAACTTTATACAGGGGTCAAACTCCAGCCTACAGCAAAACCTGCCAGTAATCAATACGGAAATGAGATTTTTTACAACTCTGAAAATGCACATAACACAAATGAGATTTCCACAATTCTGAAAATATCCCTATATGAAGTCTCTATCACATATGTTTCCTCTACGCAGGACTGGATGTTGAAAGGAACATTTCTCAGAACCTGGACATTTCCACGAAACCTGTATAGCTAGGTTACCATTTTTACTTACTAAGAGACTTGAACGCCAAACAGTAATTGATTATTGCTTATATTGGGATCATGTGATCTTTCAGAACTAGAACTTTCGTCTGATTGATCTCTATCGAGGACAGAGCTGCAGACAAAACATTTTCGGCAAAGTTTCAAAATATCCTGCATAGCCAGGACATCGTTTTCGTAGCTAGGTGGGACTTCGCTTTCAGTGGAGCTGTTTTACTAGGAATCATCACGTTTAAACCAGTGCTACCAGAATCTCGTTTCTCAAAAAAGTCCCGTCTAGCAGACACCATTGCTAGATGTGATAACCTCTTTAGGCATACAATTTCAATTAATCATTAAACACAAGCCAATTACATTTAACTTAAAATTTAAAAAAAAAAAATAAAAAAACTGAATAGGTACTTTTCTGTTATCGGCCCGAATTTAGAAATGTATGTATATATGTATAGATGAATGGATGTGTTCATGCATGCATGTGTATATGTACGAGCATATGTATGTATGTGAATCTAGTCCCAATAACAGAAGAGTACCAAACTCAATTCTTGTAAATTATATGTATATTTAATTTTACATTTTCATTTTATTATTCAAGCAGATACATTGCTAAATCTACTAATATAGTAATTAAGCAAATGTTTTAAATCCTGAATAATTGTAGAAGAAATTCATAATTAGAAGAAAATTAGAATCCATACACCATATATCTTCCGAGGTTTTCTAGATGGAGATAAGAAATATAAATATACTAAACAAAAATACTTATAATTCATTTATAAATTATGAATGTAAAGATTTATAAGTAACATGCTTTGCAAGCTTAAGTTCTGAATTACATATCTTTTCCTACAACAGAGTTATTAATTTCCCTATATGTTTATTTTGCCAATGTGCATGGCTTAAAGAGCTTTCATACTTAAATTTGGATAAAATATTGTCCCCCCCCCTTTTTTTTAATACATACAAACTTTTTACAAGTTACATTTAAATGAAGTACTTTTTTTGCTATGGTAGAATTCTAAACGGAAAGTCTAGCGTCAGCCACTAATGGCTACGCGGCCTAAACGGAAAGTCTAGTGTCAGCCACAGATGGCTGACATGGCACTCAACGTGTTAAGAGTTAAATTTTGAGTTGAACGTCTTTCCTGTCAAATTCTTAACTTCACTTACTACTTCCGGCCTACTAAAAGTATATAATGCGTTTAAAAACTGCTTCAATGGATCGAAACTTAAACTGGATAGTTGTGTTCAGTTAAAAAGCAAATTAGAGAGCATTTGAATTTTATAGCATCCGTTCCATCATTCTGTATTCATCCATCGAAAGAAATATGAAATTTTTTTTAACCTGTATGAATAAACTTCATATTTCTTTTGAGCACTAATTCCTTTATGCCTCTGAGAAAATATATGCTGTTTACAATCATCTTTAACACCATGTGCAACTGAAAACGTCTTTGTTGCTAGGGCAAAGTATATGATTTGCACAAACTTTAAAATCTTTACTGCATGGGAATCCAGAAGAATACGAGTCAAATTGTTGGCTTAATAATTTTAACCTCTTACTGAGGCAGCATAATTCAAGAAATTAAAAAACAACCAATTGAATCATGACTCAAAAGAAACATGTGCTACATTTTCTCACTATATATAACCAAATGCAGCATGCAGAGTTAAAAAAGCCTTTCACTGCAGGGTGTATAATTAAAAAGATAAGGGTTGGAATTTGCTAAACTGGGATTGATTACTTTTTAAAATCAGCATGACCATACACTTAACATGTGATACATGATGCTTCAAGCATTTCATTAATTATGAGAAGAATAAGTTGGTTCCATTTTGCATGCCATTTCCATCGCCTTCTTTCAGTAAAATCGGTACTTATGTATTATCCCGTTGCCCCCGACTCTCTTGCCAAGCACTGCAATTTAGTGCAGATCACAAATAAGCGCAAGGTAACAACTCAGCCATAACATATGCACTCTCATTTGATATAACCCCAACTAATTGTTAAAAGCCATCTTTTGTGTGTAGAATCTTCTTCAATGGTTCGACAACCGTGAGTGGGCCCTGGCCTTCTCCAGGCATCTCTCCTTTTGGCGACTATTTTCTAATTTTTAACCTTTAAAATATTAAGACCTTTTCCAACACAATCAATCCATTTGAGTGGGGGGTCTGCCCTGAAGTCTGTTTCCCACGGGCTTTGCCAGAAAGATTTTCTTGCAACAACGATCTTCGTTCATTCATTCTGGTCAGATGGCCAGTCCATTTAAGTCTCTGTAATTTGACTAATTTTACAATATCAGGTTGTTTGTAAATTATATTTTGCGTGTATATAAATTAACTATTATTACTGCTGTTTATTGTTATTGCTGTTTTTTGTTTCATTTTGAAAAATTAAAATAATTAAAATTTTGAACATGTTATTTTCAATATTATGAGATCCTACCATAAAAATGTGTATATGAGGTCCGATATGATATAAAAAGGGGCCCGATATAGTAAGCTGAATACCGCCAACAAATGGGAATTCACGAATAACTTGCAGAAAGTTTGTGGTCATAGCTTTTTAAATAGAGCTCAAAGTTTAATTGGTAAAATTGGAGAAACTAACAAGTTAGTAGAAATCTGCAAAAGCCCTTTTACGAAGTGCAAATACAAAGCGGATCAAATACCAATTGTTTATTAAATAAAGATGCATCAATTTTTTTAGAATTCCATAGGAACACCTGACAAAACTTTGATGGAATCTCTGCCAATTGTCACAATGCGAGGGTAGCCAACTTTCATGGTTGAGGGAATATGTATGTAAGGTAAAATCTATAGATTTCTCAGCATTCTCTGAGGTTTGCAGTTTTTCACAAATATCTGTAGAAATTATGAAAAATCTACAGTAGTTGGAGTCTATGATCCAATCTTTAGTGAATACCTATCATATTAGTCTTAAATTATTAAATTTATTTTTTTTAATTTAATGAAATTCCATGTAGTTTTCAAAGAGACACATGAAAAATGAATGAACAAAAGATTACAAACCAGTCTAAAGAAAGCCAGAGGAATTTTAATATGTGTAAAATCTAATAAAATCATTTTTATTAAAAACTTACCTACAGCTGCATGATAATGTGATAATGCATCATCATACATTCCTTGAGTTAGAAGTTCTCGACCTAACTGTAGATGCCTATCTATTTCTGGATTTGGAATCCATTGCTCACCTATTAAATTTAGTATCAATAAAACTGATATTCATTTTATACAAAATATTAAATATAACCTAATAAAAACATGAATGTAAACTTTGAAGATAAATTTTTACATTTATATGCAAGATATAATTCTAATTATACAACTTTAAGATTTCTTTTTAATTTCATTATTTTGTTTTTCTGTTCTAAAAATAGTAAAGTGCTTATCATGAATTCTGAAATGAATCATTTCAAATAACATAAATCCCTGTCATATGCTCCTTATATAATGCTAATTACACATACTTGCTTAACGGGGAAAAAAATTCTCACCCAATTAGAATTAAATTAAAACTAACTAAAATGAAAGTAAACCAGAGCATAATTTCATTATCCTTAATCGTAATCATAATCAATATCGCAATAATTTCTTGTCTGCCTTTCTTCTGCTATCATAACCAACAGCTCTCTTCTCTCTAACTGTATTTTGCTCAGCACACATGTTGAATTATGCTTGAATTAATTCATCACACATCTATCCTCTACAGCAACACTCCAAAATTTCTATTACAGTAAAAAATCTTTAATCCGGGACTTTGGCGATTCCGGATTATCGATTTTTCCGGATTATAGATCATCAGTTTAAATCTGGTACGATACCATGCAGAAATTATAAAATTAAAAATATGAAACTGTAATTTATGAAATAAAGAACAATTATGATCTAAAGGGTATCAAAATTTACAAAAAAAAAGCTTAATATTTATTTGTTTACTTTATTAAACATTTCTTTCAATGTAAGTTGTTTTGTTTTATGTGATAATACTTTCTCTTTAATTCTATAAACAGACATAATTTCTTGTTCAATTACAAAGTTCTGCTGTTCAAGTCCTATAATTGCTGCGTCGAGAATACCAACTAATTTGTCAATCGAAATTTTTTCGTTCTCAATAACCTCCGAGTCACTTTCTTCACTATCGGAAGCGAATTATAATGATGAGGAATTTGATTTAAATCATATCAACTACCGACTACACCGAGATGAAACACTACATTTAGTAAGGAATTATAAACCAAATAAAATAAAAACATCTGCCCTGAAAATAAGGATAGTACTTAACTTCAAATTCATTGCGCACCGCGACGTTTCATGGACACAGAGTTTGTGCAATTCTTTGACTTTTTATTTTGGTTTTGTGTAGCGGCCATCTTGAAATTATGTCTTCCTGGCGCCGATCTTGGCGTCAAGAAAGAATCGCCAAAAAACAAGGAGCACCCAGAATTATCTTTCTTTTTTTCTGGGACAGCATATGAAAGCAAAATTTGAAAATGGGTCATCTACACTATTAATAATTTTAAAAATTAAAATTTTTTCTATAAATGATCAATTGTTTAAATCGCCCACTGCTTAGCACGTTTCTCAAAATCGCAAACTTGAAAATAAATCAAAGAATTGCACAAACTCGTTATCCATGTACACATCGACCTGTTTTAAAAAAACATCAGAGAATTGCACAAACTTGGCATTGCACACTTCCTTTGTCCATGTACACATTGATACGCACCATATATGTGGGCGATTCTGCAACAACTTGAAAGTAACAAGTCGAAAAATTACACAAACTCGGTATCCATGTACACATCAAGCTATTTTCATTTAAAAAACATCCAAAAATTGCACAAACTTGGCATTCTGCACCATATAAGTGGGCGATTCTACACTTGAGCCAAATATTTAATACAATTAATTCTTTCTCATGCTTCGTTAGCTAGTATCATGAAACTGATACCAAATGGAAAAATTCATTCTAATGCAGTACCTGAATAATACATTGTAATTATGCCAGACTTTTTCATAATCATTAAACAGAAGAAATTACTTTTTTTAGTGTGATTAGATATCGAAAAAATTTCCTTTTTATCAAACTAATTAATCTTGTATTAAACTAATACGAAAACTGAAGCTATCTTACACAGAATTGAACATACTGATATGCAAGTATACATTTAAAACAGTAAATGTTAAAATTAAATAATTACTGTTTTAAATTTCACATTGGATATCAGCCAAGAGAATAATGAAATTATATTTTACACATATTAACCAATAACATATTAACATATACAGAACTGGCATTTAACACATACTAAAACGTCTCTTCATTTTAACAAAAAAGGTTTTAGCTTTTCCAGCGAGTGGGATAAACTCGAACTGCTAAAATGAAACAAAATACAGTACTACCTTATAATAGCAACCACCAAGACTGAATCGCTAATCAAACAAAATATCTGGACACATATTCTTAAATCTCGCTACATGTTACATCTCTGTAGATTAGCAATTAAATTTTGGAGGGCGCTGTAATAAGGCGGGACCCAAAATACTTAAACACAACTAAAGTGCCTAAAAGTTGCCTTTTCATCAATTTTTCATTAAAACATATATATTCCATGAAAGAAAAAATTTTTAAAAATAAGTTATGAATTGATCAAACATAATCATGTATAAAACTACTGCAAATCAGAAATAAATGGGGATAACCATTAGTAATCATGCCCAGATTACAGATTTCCAAATCAAAAGCATTTTTTTTTTTATTTAGATACGAAAAAAAATTTCCTTTATTTAATACATATTAATATGACAAGAATGTATTTTTCTTAGCAATAATTTGAAAATGCCGTTTTCCTTACATACGTTACATTAACATTAAGTAAAAAAAAATAGTAATGACCTATTATTTTCCCTTTTTTACAGTATAGTATATCATATAGTTGATTAGTATACATAGATATAACACTATATAAACTACTCTGTGCCACAAGGACAAGTCTTTCATTTATCACATTAGCTACGATGATCCTCAATTTTAATAGTCTTGATCTCAAGGTCTTCAAACTCACATAGCTTTGAAAATATAGCTTTAGTTTACATGCGAAATAAATACATGTTTCAATAATGAAAAGATTTTGTTTTTTAATTTTCTGTTGCCTAAATTCTGGTTCTGCTACTGTATTCTTCTATTTGTATAATTATCTCTATATTTTGTTTGTATCTTATCATCTAAAGACAACTTTCAAAATTCAACAAATGAATTTTTTGCATTGGAAACTAAATAATAATAATGATGATGATAAGGTGCACCAATCAATGAATAAAAGCATACGGTTTACAATAACCCAGTAGAAAAATTTTAATGTCATGATCATCCAAAATCATCCTAAACCAAAAATATTTAAAACTGTGTTACTTAAAAAACACAAATAATACACTAAACATTTTTAGTTTTATGCATTAATATTAAAATTATACATTTTCATTTTACTTTTAACATATTTCACACAAAAATAAATCATACTTACATTTTACATTAGCAATGTCCTTTATAATATACAACAGTGAAATAAATACGTGCAAAGATAAATCCATAATTTACAACTAGACGATACAAATTAATATATCACACTTAATTCTATTTACATATATGTATACATATATACTCTTAAAACTGCACTAAAATATAGATAAACTTTTAATATGATTTACAAAATAATTTTCAAATGACACATAATACTTCATGGAATGAATCACTTATGAGGTAAAATCTGACATAAGTAGAGCACTATACAATTTCGAAAACAATCTAAATGTGTACATAATTTCAATTTCAATAGAGAAAACCGAGCGTGTGATCGTGTTATTGGACAATAGCCGCTATTGCCACTTCAAGTAAAGAAAGCAAAAAATTCCTCTTTGAAAGGTAATGCCAAACTCTTTTTACTCGACTTCTGATAAGGATAAGGTGGGAGTAAAAGGATAAGGATAAGGTGGGCTCCTATTTAGAGGAGTCTTAGGTGGGAGGAGAAAGAGTAGGGTAGAAGGAAGTGTGGGAGTTCAATTACGTGGCTCATAAGCTTAATCCCTTTATCCCCACATCATCAAAGATTATTAATTACCGAAAAGAGGGTTCCGCAAAGAGGTAAATTTAGCGTCGAAATGTTAAAAATAAACAAATGTTAAACTGCCTTCCACAGAGAAAAAAGGTGAAAACACTGAAGGACTTAATTTAATAATTTTGATATTGAAAAAGAGCCAGAATCAATTTTGCATCATGAATTTTGAAAAGATTCTATATTTTCTTGATCAATGGTCATGTGGTGTAACAACACGAGAAAGGAACCACTCGCGAAAGGTCATTCACGTCGCAATTGGCCGATCACGTGCGATTAGCAGCCGCGGCTTCGAAACCTATCACTCATCATCACTCATTCGGGCGCTAGGCTCCCGCCGGATACTAAATCCAAAATTAAGCGGCGCAACTACCTGCGAAAACTTTGGCAGAGAACACGTGATCCCAGTATCCGTGCTCAATTGCACAGACTATAGAACGATATTAGGTCTGAAACCCGCTTGCAAAAACAAGCGGAGTGGAAATGCTACATTCAGCCCCTAACGACTGATGACGGGTCGGTTTGGCGCATTACCGCGCGACTACGAAAACAATACAAACACATTCCGCCCCTTGAGACGGCCAATGCTAACCAGATGGCTTTTACAGACAATCAAAAAGGCTGAAGTTATTGCTGACAGCCTTGCTACACAATTCAGTCCATATAACGACGGGTACTGTAACCGTCCGGTTACACAGGGGCGCACACATTCATGTGTTGAACATTTCTGACTGGCGCTGCGATCACGAAAGCTGGAGGCAGTGTCTAAACATAGCTCCGAAATTTTTTAAATAAGTGTTTCAAAAATGTTTTCAACTCTCTAAAATAGTTAAATGCACCTTTCCTATGCAATGTCTCATTCATCAAATTGAAAAAGGAAACTTCGCTTCTTCGAAACTTCAGGTGTTTTGTTAGCTGTTCACTATGAACACGAGAAATCCAAAAGAGGCCTGACACGGATATTCAGAAAGTAACATTCTGTTCTCTATAAAATATCTGTCTCTCTATCACTAGAGTGTCATTAAATTTCTTTATTTATTATTTTTCATAAGATTCTAACATTATACTATAGTTGGTAATAGTAGCAGGTCATGTGGTTTTTCTTCGTAACTATTCCGTAGAGACGCCACATTCCTTATCAGTAGTCCTTTTATCAGCAACTCACACCCTTCGGAGGCCCTCCTTTCGTGCTTAGGAATTTCTTGTGAGGGAAAAAAATGGGGATCTCTTGATCATCGATGAGTATAGATGATTTGATTTGTAACTAAGATCCCCGACTTTTTTTTTCAGGTCTCAAACTTAGAATTATGAGCAAATAAAATACAGGACGGAATTTGTTAAACTTGTACTATATAATAAATTTCAACGGTTTAAATTAATAAATTAATTTTATATTTAACTAATATTTAAGAAAATAAACTGTATAATTTATTTTTGCTGAAATGCTCTCACACTGTGTATGAGGATTATAATTTTGTCAATTACTGTTTTTTCTGAAATATACATGAATTTTTTGGGAACGGAATATTTAATGTTACTTTAGTTAAAATATTATGTACATCTGTGATGATATATGTCTTTTCTAGTTAGGTCTCAAGATAAGGGCATACACATTACAGTAGGAATTCATTTATTTTTTTTTTTTTTTAACTTAGCTAAAGTTTTCTTCTTAAAGACACTAAGTTTGCAAATGAATTCTTTTTAACTACAATCATGGACACAATCGTATTTAGGATATTTCTACTTCTTTTCCTTTTTTTTATAGGTCCTTTTTTCTCCTCATTATTTTTGGGCCATTTATTTTAAATTTTATTTTGTCCCATCTTTCTTTCTGGCCTTTTGAACTCGTAAAAAATGTACGAAGTTCCTTTTTACTCTCCTCAAATACGAAATTGCCCCCCCTCTTTCTATATACCTTCCTTCGCACCTGCTGATTTTTCGCCCATCGGCGCAGAAAGACTTAGCGGGTGCAAAACAAGACATCTGTCTACTTTGTCTGTCTGTCCGTTGAACATTTCTTAACGGTCGCCGCTTTTTCGGGGGAGCGACTAAATTTCAACTCGGCAGGAAAATTTGATTGGTCAACGGTACACGTCACATGTGACGTCAAAAGCGGGATGTTTTAGATTTACCCCACAGGATTACCTGCCATTTTCGGTTGCTTGTTTGCTGAGCTCTGCAGTTATATTTTTTGGCGGGCTAAAAGTGTTTTTTGATAAAATATTTTAATTGGTAATTTAGGTATTGTTTGCTTGTAATTAAACATGTGATTACAAATTATTGTAAAGTATTTATTTTTGAGACAAACTTTTTGTAATCTATTTATTTTTCATATATTGCCTTTTGAGAACAGATAAATTTAGCGGAAATTTCCTTTGTTGAACAAAGGAAAATGAAAAATGTTTCAGAATAGCAAGCCGTGTTAGTTTCAGTCAAACATTAATATTTTTATACCATTTTTTGTGTCAAACATTAAATATTTTAATATCATATGCTACCATTTTTTTGTGTCAAACATTAAATATTTTAATATCATATGCTACTAGTTTTTTATTCATTTCTTTTTTTAATATTTCTGATGACAAAATAAGTTTTTATTTTCTATTGCAGTACATAACTTTTTGTTATAACAATGGAATATGAAAAGATAGCAGTATTTGAATGTATGTACTGCTGCAAAAAGTACAAAAAGAAAAAGGTTTTATATGAACACATTCGGGAAGTACATAAAGTACCTGTTGTGGCTGAAGGAAATTTGAAATGTCCTATTAATGCCTGCAATTTTTCATGTAGAACGTTTGAAGAGTTAAGAAATCACGCAAGAGATCAACATGGATACACTCTTAACTCCGTTGAAATGACATTTAATACATATGAAGGTAAGATATTAGAAATTTGCATTTTCTGCGATAAACGTTTTTAATTTGAATAGCCCCAAACTGAGTACAAATTACTATTTTTGCAAATTCATTCATCAAGCTGGGGAATAAAATACATCTATTTTTTGTGAGTATAATTGATAACAGAATAATTTCCTTAGCATCTTGCTTTTTTCTGTTAGCCTGATAAACCCCCATTATTCTTCAGTCAAAAAAAATATTTCATAAGATTAAGTAATATTTCTCTTCCTCAACTATTTGAAAATATGAAGTAAACATTTTCTAAATAATAAAAACATATATAGAGATGCACTGCTGCATAATTATTTATACGTGTAATTCAGTGCTTCATTAAAAAAAAAAGACTATCCTGTTATTACACAAATGGATCTCTTAATGCATATGTATATTGAAGATATCAAAAATGATGTGGACCTAATAAAAAAATTAGTAAAATCTTTATTAAAGTGGCAACCTTCAATTGTAAGTTTAGTATCATAATGATAGACACTTATTTTATTATATGTAAATGAGGCTTAAAATTTATTATATGTTATTTTAAAACTACTTAAAGAAATTTATTCGATGTCTTAAAAAAATTTTAATAACCTATACACATTGTATCAGTTATCAAAGAAACAGGCTACAATGTTTTTTTACTTGATATAGGCCATAGATACTTATGTTATGGATATAGGCCATAGATGAGATATAGGCCATATGATACTCATGTTATGGAAAATGTCTGATGACAATTTGTCTCTTAAGAATAAATTTCTTGCATTATTATACAACTTTGGGGAATATGTTTTAAGTCTTTTGTTTAGCTGGAACACGAGTACTAGTAACTGTCAAATAGGAAGAAAAATATGCCAATGTATAACTTAAAACAGAGTCGTAGCTAGGGTTTTCAGCGCCCAGGGACAACTAAAGGTTTCGTGCCCTCTACTGCTTGCCAAGGATGAAAAACATTTAATTCTAAAATGTCGTAACATCAGTTTGGCGCCCCTTGGATTCTGCGCCCCCGGGGACAGATGCCCCCCCTCTAGCTACGCCCTCTGACTTAAAATTAGGCAACTTTATTTCAGTGTAGATTTTAAATAAAACTATCAGTTTTGAGAGCAATTAGACACAGGTCCCTCCTCAGGAGGAGAAAAATTCTTGAAGAGAAAAAATATTCTTATTGTCCTGAAAAGTGACCAGTATCTATTTACAATCAGTGCCAAAATAAGGATTGTTGGTTGGCTAATTTTAAATTAGTAATTTTGTATTTTTAAAGATTCTAACTCACAGTTCACAATTATAATGGGCTTTTATATTGTATGTAGGCTAATGTTTACCCTTCAAATTTAGATTTTCTTACAATGGAAAAGTGAGGAAGAACGAAAGGAAAAAATTTCTTACTTTTTGAGAAGTTACAATAACTCTTAAAGAAGGTGGGAAAAAGAGTTACTTCCTTTGTAATCGATCTGGATTTTATAATTCTAAAAGTAAAGGTGTAAGAGCTATAAAATCACAAGGTACCTGCAAAATAGAGGGGCACTGTCCATCTACTATTGAAGTTACCAGTAATGGCATTATTAAGATTTTATATTTCCAAACACACGTGGGACACACAGTAGATCTAGAACATTTGCCATTAACAAAAGATTTGCGAGAAGTGATTGCAGGTAAGTTTCTTTATGAACTTGATTGTGAAATTCAATATAAAAAACAGACATTATTATACAACATTATCATATAAATGCAATATTTTCAGGTAAAGTTAAATGAAGGCATTCCACCACAGAAAATATTAGATTCCACAAGGAATAGTATTAAAGAAGACATTTACAGGGAGCATTTATTGACAAAAAAAAAAAAAGACATACATAACATTTCTAATTCTTACTGTATTGGTAATGATGAAACAATATCATCCAACTGATGCTGTCAGTTTAAGGATCTGGATAGAAAAAATGAAAATGTTTAGATGATAATCCAGTTCTTTTTGTAAAATTCCAAGGAGAAGCAGCAGATCAGCACTTGGAAATTAGTGACTTCTGCATCAT